TGGGCTGAAACGAATCCACCTGTAGTTACGCTTGCCCGCAGGAAGGGTTTTCTTTGTGTTTTATTTTACTTCAGATGAACACCAGCGCGCAAAGCTTGTTTTTCAAAAGTTCTCATTCCTGCAAAAGGCGCGTGTGTGCTTTGCTTTGCTCTATCCAAATCTAAGTCCGTTCCTCCACCCTGTACCTCCCAGTGAGTACAGATTACAGGCATGTGCCACTGTACCCAGCCCCAGACTCTTGATAAACGGTGTCAAGGTCTCAGACAGGATGAAAAACCACGCATGCAGCTGGGCACCGGTGGCTCCCGCCTGTCATCCCAGCTACTCAGGAGGCTGAGATCTGAGGATCGTGGATGGAGGCCAGCCCTGGCAAGGAAGTCTTCTATTAACTTCCCTCACCCCCTTCAAAAAAAAAGGCCAAAAATGGAACCAGAAATGGTTCAAGTGGTAGAGCGCCAGGGCTTGAAGCCCAAAAGCTCAGGGACAGTGCCGGGCCCTGAGTTCTCAAACCCCAGGACCAGTACCAAAAAGCACACAAACAAACAAACAAACCGAAACGGTGCTGGAGAACATTAGGTGTCAGCAGGTTCGCGGTGAGACTGCTACCCACGTTTGCTTTTGTTCAGCCGGGCCTCACGGCTAAGTCAGGATGTGAATTAGAAAGCCCAGCCCCAGAGCAGCCCGGGGTCAGGGACTACAGCCTGAACTTTGGTTCTCACCCCTCTGTGAGATGGGGTTGTCCAGGCTGAGAGGCTCCAAGCCGACGCGGATGAAGGATTTTTGTTCTAGGATGAAGGGTTTTTGTTGGCTTCTCGCCCTGGCGTCCGGGCAAAAAGCAAAGAGGGCTGTGAGCTCGAGGCCACAGGGCAGTTCCAGCCGCTCCAGGCCTAGAATGAGCATTTTCGGCCTCATAAAAGCTCAGAAAAAAATTCACCTAGATATCAGGTAATCTGGAACAGCGAATAATCACGATCTCTCTTCTCTTTGCTTTTCCACGCCAAGCTGAGTGGGACAGAGGCGGGGAACCATCTTTCTCAAAGCTTGTTTTGCTTTGTATTTTTTTTTTTTTTTTGCCTATTGAGGCCTGAGATTGGCAACCAAACAAAGGAACAAATGAAAACACTGTGTCTGAAAACCCCCAGGCCCTGGGCAGCTCCAAAAGAGAAAGATGATGTTGCGGCTCAGTTCAAGTTCAAAGGAAAGATTTAGAATGGATTTGCTCGGCGCTAGTACAAAATAATTCCATGTGTTTGCCCTGTGGAGTCTGGCTGTTCTGTACCTGGCCAGGTGGAAAACACACACTCACACACACACACACTCACACACACTCACACACACACACACACACTCACACACACGAACCCAAGCTTTGTTTTGCTCAAGGCTGGTGCTCTACCTCTTGAACCACAGCGCCACTTCTGGTTTTCTGGTGATCAGAGTCTCATGGACTTTGCTGCCCGGGCAGGCTTTGAACCGCGATCCTCAGCTCTCAGCCTCCTGAGCGGCTGGGATGCCAGGCGTGAGCGCCGGCGCCGGCTCACTGCGGTGGCATTGGAAGCGGGGCGGGCAGTGCCGGGGCAGCCCCGCCCTGCTCCTCACTCACGGCTAGGGTTCCGGTGTTTTCTCTGTCACTTATAATCAACTGCAGAGCTGTTATTAGTGTTGTTTCATTCCTGATCACTGTAAATGGGACGACTTCAACAACAACACTGGCTTAGCAATGAGAAAGAGACAGAGATAGAGACAGAAAGACAGACAGACAGACAGACAGAGACAGAGAGACAGAGACAGAAAGAGACAGACAGAGAGACAGAAAGACAGAGAGAGACAGAAAGACAGACAGACAGAGAGAAAGACAGAGACAGAGACAGACAGACAGAGACAGACAGACAGAGATAGAGACAGAAAGACAGACAGACAGAGAGACAGAGACAGAGAGACAGAAAGACAGACACAGAAAGACAGAGAGACAGAGATAGAGACAGAAAGACAGACAGAGAGACAGAAAGACAGACAGAGAGACAGAAAGACAGAGAGACAGAGATAGAGACAGAAAGACAGACAGAAAGACAGAGAGACAGAGATAGAGACAGAAAGACAGAGACAGAAAGACAGAGAGACAGAGATAGAGACAGAAAAACAGACAGAGAGACAGAAAGACAGAGAGACAGAAAGACAGAGATAGAGAGACAGAGAGACAGAAAGAGAGACAGACAGACAGAGACAGAGACAGAGAAAGAAACAGAGAGACAGAGACAGAGAGGAGAGAGAGAAAGAGGGAGAGAGAGTAGAAGAGAGGAAAGGGGAGAGAAGAGAGGAGAGAAGAGAGGGGGAGTGGAAGAGAGAAGACAAAGGAGAAGAGGAGAGAGACAGAGAGGAGGACAGACAGACAGAGGCAGAGAGAGAGACAGAAGCGAGAGGAGGAGTGGGTGGGTGGGGGAGGGGCCACCAGCCCAGCTGCTCCTTTCTGAATCCAGACGTGATGCGATGGATTGGGGGGGGGGCATCCCGCCACCCCAAAGCTGGGCACCATGCTTCCCGCCACCCCAAAGCTGGGCACCATGCTTCCCGCCACCCCAAAGCTGGGCACCATGCTTCCCG